GCTAGAGGTGAAAGACCAGTTCAGCTGTAAGCAGCTAAGCAGCACCTGCAATGAATTTGGACTTTTTTTTTACATAAAGTTCACATTAAGCCAATTACATCCTTATTTTGTAATGGTTTATTACAGCATCAAATTAAGAACTTTACGAATTCATTTTTACTCACATGTATTTTTAGGCCCACATCACGTACACCCTCCCTGATCTACTATACCTAAGGTATAGGAACCACTGAAGGAAAGTTCATCTCCTGTGCGATTCAAACTGCCCTTGCAGGCACCTGTCTCCAGCACATCATGAGCTCAGGCCGTGGCTTTGGTGCCTCCCATCTTGAATGCTGTGAACAGCAGTCCAGAATGGGTGAACAATGTTTAGATAGCAAAGGAATGAAAGAGGCAGGAACCGATACCACTTGTTCATGAGGAGGTTTCCAAAGTATAGTATTTGTTTGGTTTAATGCTTTTTTGTTTAAAGAACACATTCAAGCCCAGGAAGCTAAAATAAGGATAAATCAGAAAAAGCCACGTAACACCACCCGTGTTTGGTTTATGTGGAAAAGATAAGATTAAACTCTTGCCAGAGCTCTCAGCACTACATGGCATTTCTGCCTTTACAGTATTTTCTTTGCTACCAACATGCACATGCTGCAGCAGAAGTTAACCCATGTTAGCTGCTGCACTTGAGCACTAAATAGCTGTCCCACAGGGATGGGAGTGGAAACAGCAATGAAAAGGAGCAGATGCACCTTCCCAAAACCAGCCTCTCCATGAGCACAGCACCTCTCTCCAGCCGTGGGACTCCATGCCCAGTTCCACTGGGGCAGCTCTTTGGTACTGCCTTTGCTTGTTTGTGAGCCTGCCTTCATCTGATTTCCTCTGTTTTCATTTCTTTCTCCTTTCTTCCAGGTTTATGGTCACTGGTTTCCTGTTACCATTTGCTTCATCCTGTGTTCCACAATTTCAAAAATGAGTAGAAATTATGGAAATTGCCTCTTGTCACTGTGCTCAGACCTTACAGTGTTGTTTGGTTTTACATGAAGAGGGAAAAGCACACATCCCATGCCTTCTTTCTTTTCCTTTTTTTTTCTCTCTTTTCCCAAAGAACAAGTGAACTTGTTGGATCTCTCGTTTAAGAGTTAACAAAAAAAAACGTATCAAGGTGATGACTGGTGGCTGTTGGTAATCTGAGAAGGGGATGGTGAGTGGTTACCTGTTCTAGCATCAAGCAGATGGAAGAAAACCCCCCAGCAAGCCACCTACTACTTCTTAGTTACCTATGAATGATTTTGGCAAGGAAACCTATTGTGGCTTTTATTATACACCTAAAACTATTCTTTTTGTTCTCAAATTAAATAATGCAGTTTAAGTCTGAAGTCAACGTTAATTGAAGAGCAGAAGCTGGAGACAACCAAAGAAAACACACTGCATTGACTGGTATGAAGAGTGCCGAGCAGGCTTTGGCAAGCTCACAGCTTGCCCACACGATCCAAAAAATCAAACAGTGCTATGAACTTTAGGAAAACACAGCAGGTTGCAAGGAAGCATAAGAAAACCACAAGAACAAAAGAGTATGCAAGTGCAATACAGCCAATGATGATAAAATCACTGATGTGGCAACTGATCTATGACTTGCAATCTTTCCTTTCTGTAGAGTCTACAGGCTGGTTTTGTCCAAAACACTGACAAGTAAACATCTGTCTATAGCTTATGCTAATAGAATTTAAGAACAAAAAAAAGAAGAATCTTTGCAGATTAAGGCCTGTCACATATGTGACACTAATATTGAAATAGGGAAACATCACCTTGCCCATGCAAGCATAGCATTTGAAACCAAAACCCTTAGCTTGGGACGCTGCTGCACCTCGCACCGCAAGTTCAGGAACGGACTCCGATGCACAGGTCTGGAGTGAAATCCATGTGCAAGGGGAGATCTGAGCACTGCAGGGTGCAAACCAGAGGGAGCAGGGTAGGTGCTGCACAGATGGACACAGGGGTGGTTGGAAAAGGGCACCATTTGCCTGGGCAAGCCTGCAAGACCAAGAGCGGAGTGTAGGCAGCAGCCACGAGGAGTGGATCATGGTTTTAAACTAAGTCATTCCTGAATGCTACCCAAGCCCTGCTCTTGGTACTGAAGTCCTTTTTTTTGATCTAATTTCCAGATTCAGAAGATAACTGCAATGTGTCTGCTTTCTGATACTAAGAGTCCAGGTCAGCATCAACTGGACTTGTCCGAAGTTCAGAGTTATGCTGAAATGAATCTTGCTAATATTGAAACCCTGATACTGAGCAAAGTCAGAAGTTACTCTGAATGCCTGCCTGCCTTCAGCTGTCAAACTGTGATAAAGTAACCTTAAAACTTTCTGAAATGCTTTCTTTATCCTTAGTTTCACATCATCTCTTGCCTCCCTGTCATAATCAGAAAGTCAGAATATGCAATGACTGCCTCCTTAATGATAAAAAAAAACCTAAGATTTCAAGTCTAAATGATTGAATATATTTGGCCAATTTGTTCTCCCTGACCTAATCTCAATGATGCTCCTCAGTTCCTGCACTTAGAGCAACTTTCAGTTCTCAGTGTGCTTATTTGTAACTTTGGTTTGCTCCTAGGAACTGGATTTTCTGTCTCTCATTCTCTTTTTCCTAAGCATACTTCAGTAGCTTTCAAGGGCAATTTATTTCTGTAAGTGAGATGTCATTTTGCTTTTACTGTATCGGTTCTCTAGTTTCTTTCTTTTACACAAAAAAGACTGCTGACTAAAGATCCCACAGATGTCAGGAAGACAATTAAGCTAGAGAACAAAGTCATCCGTAAGTGGTTAAATCACACAAAGAGCTTTTGCCTCCCCTTCCTTTGTGCTGTATTATCACAGAAAAGGCTTTCTCCAGCTTCAGAGCAAGCCCTCCTGCCCCCAGTTCTTCTCTCTGATGCTCTGAAGGAAAGGCTGTCACTAGTCCCTCCACATCCCAGCTTCTCCCCTGACTTAGCCTACTGGGTTATGTCATCCTCTGACAGGAGCTCCTATGGCCCACCACAGCAGACAGTCTGTTCCTGAATACATGCGCTTCATGCAGGGATGGCAACAGTTAGCAGGTTACTACAGTAGCATTTAATGTAAACAGCAAAGGAGGCACAGTAACAAGCATCATCACAGACGAAGACCAAAAAGCCCACAAAGCGGCCACCTTTAACCACGTGCACAGCCAGCTGTTCAGCAGGGAATGCCACTTGTCCTACAGAATATGCTCCAAATTGTCCCCAGAAAGAAGGCTGCAACTGAGGCTGTACTCCCTCCTCTCAATGTACATGACCATTCCCAGCTGCTGACCCCATTTTACTTGGCAAACCACCAGCAGTTTGCCAGGAAAAAAACACCAGGTACCCATACCACCTACAACAGGAGGAACAAGGCTGGTAGTTTTGCTGTTAAATAGCTCCTCAGCTTCCAGCCATTCCAGTCCCCATTCCCATCCCTTCACCACAGCGGTGAGGTCTGGAAGGGAGTGGAGAAGCAAGCAGATCTGCAGGCTCAGACTCCAGCACTGCAGCTATCAGCCTTGCACTGAGACAAGTCACCCATCAGCTGTCCACAGGTATTTCACCGCTGGGGCGGTGGCATTTGAGATTCCTCAGGGCACAAGAACCAATGGACACATTATAGGTGCAGGGGCACAGCATTAGTGAAAGGCGTAGAGGGAGGAAGAAGAGGACATTACCAGTGACAGGCACAGAGAAACAAACCCCTTGACAGTCCACATATGTCCTTCATGGGGTAAAGGCCTATGGAAGATCATGAGGCTGGGAGACACTGAGTTTAGGATTTTGAGGGAAAAAAATAAATCAAAAAGAGGCAGAAAAATTTGGCCTTTGATCTTGCAGTCTGAGTAAGTAAGACCATGAGGGAGGGAGCTCTCAATAGCCATCCAACTTGAACCAATGAAAGGCAACCTTAAAAGAGGCAGGACAAATCTTACTGCGAGATAAGAAGTCCTGCAGAGATGTGTGTAATAAGGGATAGAATCACAGCTACCAAATAGCCTACTGCAACTGATTTCTCTGTCACAGGTAAGATTTAAGTGCTAGATAGTACTTTCCACACGAAACAGCTGGGCAGGCAGCAAGGTTACAAGATATATCAGGTCTAATCTCAATTCCCAAATGCAATTCTGCTAAAGTCAAAAACATAACCAGCAAGATCTCCCTGTACACTCCTGACCAAATCCACAGGTTTTGCTCCTGTAGCTCATGCAGCTGCACGACTGGAAAGAATGTGCTAAGAACCATCATGCAAAGAAACCTGATAATTGATTAGCTCTTCACTTCTTTAAAGTAAGTATTTGTTATAGCTTGATATATAGAATATACTATTGAAGACCATTGGGTAACTAGCTTCAAACAGAACACAAAAATTATTTTTAGACCTAGGAGAGCCCAGAAGGCTGGCTCATTAACTTTTCTCCCCCTTCCTTCCACACGCAAGCGCTTCCATTCCCTGTATAACCACCATGCACACAAGATGCTTACAAGAAGAGATGAAGTTTATTTCTTTTTTACTTTTATCTGGCATTGGAGAATGCAAGGGGTCGGTAACATCAAAGCCTACTGACTGACCTACATAAATGCCATTGTTAAAGCACTGCTGGCTTACACAGAGAAAAAGCTTTATGTTCACAGCAGAACATCATGATGAGAGTAGTGCTGAGAATTAGTGACTTCTGTTCCCTTCCACACTGCATGAACATGAACTGCACTGATTGAAAAAAAAGGTTCAGCCTGTAGTACATCTCTATGACATGATTTAGACAGACAGCTGAGATCTTCCTCACTTGTACCCAAAACACAGCTTTGTTCAGGTTTTCATTATCACTGAAATCTTTTTCTCAACTAAGAGGCTCAGTTACGTTGCAGGATAGCATAAATGCACTTACACTAGAGGTGACAGCAGGTCCATTTAAAGAAGCATATGACCGACACTTTTTACATCAGGAGAGACATCTGAGACATCTCCCAGCTAGTCCTAACTCCGTTAAAAAGTTCAAATGTACAAAATACAATGTTTGGAAAGTTTATATTTTCTCTGAATTCCCCCCCCCCCCCCCCGATGCTGAGAAAATAAAATCAATTCATATTGCTATGAAATTCTATTTTTGCAACTGGTGGCATCCCAAGCTTTATCTATGAGCTATAAAATCCTCAGCCTCATCCACATTTCCAGCACAGTGGCTAACAGCCCAGCCAAGTAACACAGCAATAATCTCTCTTCCACTGAGAATACTTTTATTCACAAGGCAAAAACTGGAGTTAGACTTTTAGGTTGTGGGCAAGGCACTCGCAAAGTGAGCAAATCTATTTTTGCTCACAGAACTAATTTAATGTTTAAGTGCAACAAAAACACTAAATTAGCCATGAAGATCATGCATATCCAACAGTTTTCACCAGACATGACTGTGACCCAGGCCTCTAAATACAGAAACATTAAAGTCCTAAGGAATCAGCTCTATTATTTTCTGCTTCACCAGGTGATGTTTCCTTTTGACCAGTCATAGAAATATAATTTCTATTATAATAATTAAACATTTAATAAAATACTATATATTTAAGAGTTAATAAATGGTTTCTTTCTGTAATAAAATATGGAATACTCTTTTTTCAATGATATTCAGACCCCAAGACTTAAAGGAGAAACATTCATGCTGAAAATGGATCAATGTACAGCACTAGGTCAGGAATCACATCTCTTGATTAAAACCCCAGGATCTCACTGTGAAACTGTACATTGATTAACAATTCACTGTTTCCTTTTATCCACGTGTTTCATTTTCAGCATCTGGCAGTGAGTGAAATACAAACCCAGATTATCCAACACTGAAGCAAATCTAACAGCCTCAGCATATTTGTTACGGTCCATCCTTTTGACAAACTCTAGACACTTGTCTTTCAGAGATAGATAGCTCTCTGTCTTGGATCAGCACCATTTCTTACTCATGCAGGGCACAGCAGAATGTCACATCACAATCCTGGGTTTTTCATGCCTGGTACTTCATTCAGTGTCCTCTTTGCAAGTCTCCATGTCTCTCTCAATGAGGCATATGCACACATTTCCAAACAAACAAGCTGTGTTCCCAAAGAGATATTAAATATGAGATATAAAATACCACAATATTGGCAAAAGAAATGGCCAAGAGTCAAAAGAAAAAATTAACCTCTATAATGTTCTGAGTACATATTTAAGCATATTTTCTTTTGTTAAATCTTAACTTGTTCATATTAACATCTGGGCTATTTATTGTGCTTCAAATACCCATTTCTTCATATGCAAACAGAAAAGCAAGCACACAGACAAAAAGATGAATACCCTGAACTTGAACTTTATACTGTTCTGGACTGTCCATGTCCACTGCTGTGTACTAACAGGAAGGATACGTACCTGCAGTCATCCCCTCCAGCACTGACCACGTATCTATCTCCACTTGTGAATCGAATATTGGTTAAGTGGGCAGAGTGACCTAAAAATCGTTTGTGTTTTGCCTGGAAAAAAGACACAACACAACAACAAAATGAGGGTCTAAATACTTCATGTCCTTCTCAGCCAAACAAGGCATGCATGTTTTTATCTACCTTTTTATTGCACATCATTCAGAATGTTATATAGGTTTTCAAACATGAAAGATCTCCTGAAGGAGAGCCATTACTGTGCTGCAGCACAGTTGAAATGTCACTGAGACAGCACCTGCAAATTGGGAACAATGCTCAAGCTAACACAGCAAAATGAAATATAGCTTGTCACAAGAAATATATCTTGTACAAACTCTAAATACTGTGCACAAATTCTTAACACTGAAAAAATTATTTTGATCCTAAGGTGTAAGGAGTTTATACTGTGCAGTCTCAAATCCTAAAACTGATCAGTGCTAGCGTTAGTGAAAAATCTGTAAACTCTCCATCCACGGAAATACACAGATGGGACTAAAATTACCAGCTGTCTTCCTTATCTGTCAAATGGAGACTGTGGATAAATAAAGCTAAGGGCTCTGAGATTTTTATTGTGAAGGCACTATGCTAATGCAGGCTGCCTTGTGAGGTGGGCTGATGACAACCTTACGAAGTTTAACCATGGCAAGTGCAAGGTCCTACACCTGGGTCGGAGCAATCCCAGGCACAGCTGCAGGTTGGGCAGAGAAGAGATTCAGAGCAGCCCTGCAGAGAAGGACTTGGGGGTGTTGGTCGATGAGAAAATGAACATGAAGTAGGAGTGTGCGCTTGCAGCCCAGAAAGCCAACCGTATCCTGGGCTGCATCAAAAGGAGCGTGACCAGCAGGTCGAAGGAGGTGATCCTGCCCCTCTACTCTGCTCTTGTGAGACCTCACCTGGAGTATTGTGTGCAGTTCTGGTGTCCTCAACATAAAAAGGACATGGAACTGTTGGAACAAGTCCAGAGAAGGGCCGCGAGGATGATCAGGGGACTGGAGCACTTCCCATACAAAGGGAGCTTATAGGAATGCTGGGGAGGGACTCTTCATTAGGGACTGTAGCGGTAGGACAACAGGTAACAGGTTAAAACATAAACAGGAAGTTTAGGCTAGATATAAGGAAGTTCTTTACTGTGAGGGCGGTGAGGCACTGGAATGGGTTGCCCAGGCAAGTTGTGAATGCTCCATTCCTGGCAGTGTTTAAGGCCATGCTGGACAGACCCTTGGGTGACATGGTCTAGTGAGAGGTGTCCCTGCCCAGGGCAGGGAGGTTGGAACTGAATGGTCCTTTCCAACCCTAACTATTCTATGATTCTATGATTAACACCTACAAGAGCTTATAGCTTATAGCAAGAGCTACTGCACAAAATAGCAAAAACTTAAGAGACGAAGCATACTTGTGAGACTACAGAGATGAAGTTACACAGGTGCATTAAAAAGCTACAAATTTAGAGAAGGAAGTATTTCCATTACAGGTCTTCTAGAGAAACAGCACAAGACCATAATATCAACAGTATTTGTAATAATTGAAAAACAAGTTCTTACAAATTTCTCAGGACATGGGAAGTCAAACAGTTTGACCATGCCAAAATCATCGCCTGTTACAAGATTGATTCCCGAGTGAGAGACACAGGCACAGTTCACATCAGCTTTTTCAGCATGCCTCGACCAGATTCCAATTACTTCATCCCCTAGAACACTGCAACAGAAGAACAACAGATTCTTCTTCTGAAAACTACAGCAAAAAGAATAGAGTAAGGAAACAGTGAGCAGCTCTCATGTTGTAACTGATTCTATAGAATTGTACTTTTTACATTTTATTCTTACACATACACATCTCAGACAGGCTTCACTCTGTAATTAATTTTTGTATCACTCCATAATTACTTCTGAAAACGATTCAGTAATATACTTCCCAAAATAAAGTGGCCCATAACGACACTAAGAAGCAGAGGTGAAATCAATGGTACTTGTATTATCCAGTGAGGTATTTGCCAAAAAATTGAATGAAGGAAAATTAAAAATCATCCTTCTTCGTTATAATCAGAGGCAGAGAGAACTGTTCAAACCAGAAAACATAATTATCTTAAGATTCCAAAACAGACATTTATAGAAAGTTTCTTTCACCAACTGTTGTGAAAAGTTGCTTTTTCATTCAGCTCTGCTTACAACGTATGTGAATACTTCCAGGAATGCACAGAAAAGAAGCACTTTATCATTGGTTAGAAGGTGAATGATTTGGGAATTCTTCTGCAACTCTTTCCTCCTGAATCAGAGCACAGTACACCACATTCATAAGGAATGATTTACTTCAGACTGAAATAAAAGTAAGATATAGCGATTTCTAAGTCTGTTTAAGGAACTATAACAACTTTAAGGTATTTAAAAGTACTTTTGTATATCTTTTGATATGCAAATGTTAATAACAACTTTAATACACAGATACTATTAGTGTAATACTGTAAATATAACCCGAATCATCACAGTCTTCCATTTTCTTTTCATGTTTTGATATATTTAATATTACTTGTACTCTTATCCCTATGTTGCCATTTTGAAGCAAAAATTCCAAGTATTTGTGCAGTGCCATGAAAAACTACTGAGGCTGCTAGAGATATAGCAAAGCAAGCCAGAGATAAACAGCAAACAGAAAGGCATATGTTGAAGAGATCAGTTGTTACCGGATGTGCTCACCAGTCAAATTCATGTTCTGTACTATCTTTTGCTGTACTGTACTTAACTGATCTGATGCCAGAGCAGATGGGTGCATTAAAAGAAATTATCTGGCTCAATGAAGGAATGAAATATGCTTTTAAACAGTAGGTGCTTCTCCTGGAAGTTACAAGTGTTTTAACAGGTACAAATGTGTGAATCATTTACCTTGTCCAAGTCGCCCATGTTATTCTGTCAATCACAGCCTGGTCCACAAGCTGTTTTCCTGAAGGCACTTCATAGACTTGCCTTTTGTAAGACCCAGTAGAGACCTTTGAGTTGATGACAGACAATTTAGAATACACAAACTTTTTTTAGAAGATGAAAATATAAATCTAAAGAGCTTTAAAAAGCATTTTCTTGATCGTTACCTTTTACTCTGTAACTTAGCTATTAATAAGCTTCCTTAATGAACTGAAAATGCTCATAACTCTGTACAAGCCTAAAGCAACAGTGAGAAAGTGTACGAAATCTTGAATTTTAAAATAATCAATTGATAAAAAATAATTGAAACATCTCACAGTCTGCACATGAATTCTATATATACAGATACTGTGTGCACTAGTATGTGTGTATGTAAATAAGAAAGGCAAAATAAACTCCTATTTTAAAACTGACAGAAAGATATTTCTTTGTTGATTTTATTGTAAAAGAAGCTTATTCCTCCTCCCAGATATGAACAAAATACATGTCTATTTTATTTTGTTTTTAAGAAATGTCTTAATCCCTGTGCCTGGGAATTGTAACACCATGATTCTGGTGCAGCTCTGCCAAGGCTAGCACCAAAACAGTGTGTAATGCTAGCATTTTGGTCAGGGATATAAAAAATTCCCATGTCCCTGGGGCTTACAGAATAACAGACTACTAATTTGTTTAAGACAGCCCATCAGCATCACAGAGGTAAAAGGGCTGGGAGACACGGATTTTGAAATCCGTTTCTCATTTCTGTGCTTATTCTTTGTATTTTATATCTAGGATAACTACTTTTATCACCCATTTATCACAAACAGCCCAGGGACAGTAACCTACTGAACATTTTATTACAAAATCTAGCAGTTGTCAAAGGAGAATACTTGAAGAATCTCCCTCATGAGTATGTTTTACATTCAGTAATTTGAAAAATTAATGACTGATACCTGGAGATAGGAGCTATCTGCAGAGAAGTCCATCTGGATCACAAAACTTGGGATATCTTTGCAATAGCTGACTCGATTCAGTGTGGGACCCAAAGTCAGATCATAAAAATCCACTGCGTTCTCACTGGAACCAACTGCCAAGTAACGAGAATCTGGGCTAAACCTGAAGACACAAAAGAGTCTGCTAAGCAAAACAGTTTCTGAAATAATTTTTTTTCAGTGAACATACATGCAACAGAATGTGGCAATAACTTTGGTACAGTTGTCACATATAAGGGAAATGGGAACACTTCTGAATAACTGTGTTCATTATCTGATCTCATTACCATTTCCATGGTCTAACTTAGTGACATGCCTTGACACCTGATTCTCTAATGCCATACTTATAAGGCTAAAAACCAGAAAAAACAGAAAAATTAATTGCTGTAAATGAAGAAAAGCCAGACCTTCTAGATGAAACATACTGAACAAAAATGTATGAAATCAAACCTTTCATCTGCCCAATGTATTTCTGCACAGTGGTTTCCTCCTTCCAGTTTTTCTTTCTAGTCTTGAAACTCAGCAGCTTCCTGAACTGAAAAAATTCCTCACAGCCCCTTTTGTGTTACTAAGGAAATACCTTTATTATCATTATCTCTGAGATATACACTGGGACAGGTTTCTGATTCCAGCAATCCCCTAACTGCTAACAGGGCTCTCCTGCCTCCTTGCAGCAAGGTCCTTGTTTGCTCATATTTCTCCCACAAATCCCTCTTTACCCTCCAGAATCTCTCAGCTTATCACAACCAATTTATCTCACAGAAGGAATCGTCTTGTTCTCCTCTCAGGAAATGGAAGCAAAATTTTACTTCTAACTCCTTTCTAACAAAACACAACAAAGAGCAAACTGACATACAGGCATTTCCAGTGTCTCTCACAATCCAGTCTGAATCTGTAAACTTCTGATCTGATTTTACACATCATCTCAACCTGCTCCTTTTCACACCTTCTCATATGCCCCTTGATTAGGACAGTCTCTTCCTATTGTCCATTTACTTTCTCATTCACTCTTCATTTTAACTAATTCTTGACAATATCATCTGAACCCCCTATGGTATGGCCCAGGTTTTGAGTGATTGTATTCTCATGTCTTCATGTACCTCCTCCTTCCTTTTTATTCTTGCTATCAGAGCAATCACACAAACTCCACAATTCACTTATTGATTCCATGACTCTGAAATATCATTGCAATGCTTCCCAGAACACAAACTTGTATTTTAAAAAATCAAAACATTACAGATTTCTAGAATACTACAATAGAAAAAAAAAAAAGCATTATATTTTCTGACCTTATATCTTGAATTGCTGATCTTCTGTCCCTTTTCTTCCCCCAGATTTTTAGAGAGGTTACAAGCAAGATAATAAATTCTCCATTTTTCATGCCAATAGCTACCATATCACCTTCTGGGCTGTAACAAACAGTACGAGCTGCATGTCCTAAGCTGACTTTGTTCAGCATCTTCTGTGAAGAAATAAAAAAACAGAAGAGTAAATATTTTTATTTGTTCATACTTCAAAAGAACCTTATGCTAACAGATTGGCATTATCAGATGGATTATTCTCAAAACACATTAACACCACCAAAAGTCTAGAATTTTTTTTCTTATAATTTTTTTCCTAAAAACAACTGTGCTCCAACACCTACCTTTTCTCCAATATCCCAGAGTCTTACTGTGCCATCTTCTGCAGCAGAAAGGAAAAAATCTCTGGAAGGATGTGCTGCTAGGCCCCAGATCGGTCCATCCATATGACCATTAATTAGAATGTTACATGCAGCATTTTTCTCTCCAACTTCGATTATTTCGGCATTTCTTGTCCCAACAAGAATTTTCCCCTTCAACAACAGTGAAAGAATGATCTCTGATGTAACACATTAACTACTCCTGATAAACAGTAATAAAGATATAATCCAAAGCTATAGTTCTGACAAGAAGGCTTGCTGAGATCCAATGATTATTTAATCAAAGATAATTTATTTCTTAAACTCATCTATGACTTATTCAAGTACAAAGCTGTACACAATCATAATGCCAGTTGAGCTACTGCTTGTACATCAGATATTTGAAGTGTGAAAACAGAAAAGAAATACTTAGTCTTTAATAAAAACATATAGAGAATATTACCCTAAGTAAGACTAGGACCTCCTGAAATACTTCTTTTTTTCTGCTGTAAAATCAGTTGCAGAAACCTTCTATCTCAAACTTTAATTTCAAATACTAATTATAGGAAAAAGAGGAAGCAAATTACCATATATTCAATGCTATAGATCAATCCACAAATTCTAAGCGTCCTTTTAAAGTCATGAGGCTTTTTTTACCTTGCCTCTGCAAACAGAGCGAACACAGTCCGTCATTTGTCCTGTCTCTAGTCTGAAGGCACGGCATCGTTTCAGCTCTTGATCCCATAGCTTAACTGCTCCTCCTTCCTTTGAACTATGAAGAAATCAGGAACAACCATGAGTGTAATGGCTGGTACAAAAAAAAAAAAAGATGATTAACGTTTGAAAGAACTGTATTACTTAACATAAAGTATTATAAATGAGGCATTTCAGTATGTTTTAAATCATTAAAGGCTCCATTTGTTTTTACTGAACATGTGATGTTAATATGCTGAGCCTCCTAGCCAAAGAAATTCTGATACAAAGTCCCCATTGTACTTCTTTACAGAGCAATTTGAAAGACGGTTGCTGCCAAGCTTGGTCTGAATTAGTATCTCTTAGGCAATTTGCCTAGTCAAAGGAACAGTAAGGTGAACAAACTGCCATATTATTAAGACAGGCAGAAATTATCAAAAATATAGTTGGGGAAACAGGAAAGATACAAGATCCATATTGTACTACTGTGAAATAAACAACAACAAAAAAAATCACTTTTGTGAAAATTTCACTGGTTTCATTGATGTGAAATAAATGACAAAGATATTGTAGAAAAAACACTCAATATTCATTGCACAAGATACCCAACTAATCAGTACTAATCATGAAAGCTCTCAGTATTTCCCACCCACTTTCAAGAGAACTCATATTTTGGTAAAGAACACATTAAAAGAAGTTTCTAAAAAGGAGATAATGTTTAATGAAACTGTTATAAATATGGCATTTCCAGTTGAGCAGGGACATGTTTTATCTGTCTTCAAAAATAATCTCCCCCAACAGGAAATACAATGTTCCATGACATTGAGCTGCCATTGTTACAACTTTGATTACTGATTGAACCCTGACAAAGAACTCCAGAAAGTTTAATCACAATTACTGCTTTTGTACTGTTATTACTAAAAGAACTGTAATGTATTATAAATTGTTAGTTCTTGCAGTGCAATATTCTTTGCTTCCCAACAGCAGTGCTTTCACATACTCAGCAAAAAAGATTTTATCAAAAGATGCTGGAGAACTGCAGTCAAGAATGCCAAGGCAGAAGCAAACATACAATTTTCCTAATTGTAGCTTTTGTTTTGCATATTTTCAATACTCCATTTTCTTACAGGGGATGGATTATTGTTTCTTACTGTTATTCATTACCCTTTCTTTCAGGTCAAATACTAACAATTTAAAGGCTCTGACAGTAAAATCATGGTGGCATTTCCTAAATACTAGAAGAAAATATTTCAAGCGAGAAATAAATTTTCAGCTGGGCTTGAGGATGTTTAAGGACTGTTTAAGGAAAAGGTAATAAGTGGCCAGACTCCTGCAAAATGTGGCATTATCATGCCATCAGGTGGACTGTATTGCAGCTTAATGAGGAAGAACTGTAATACAGTCCACCTGAAAGAAAAAATAGCTTTTTTTTTCCCCTTTTATCATCAGCAAGGCACTAAGAAAAAATTAAAATGCTTGAAGAGGTATTTTGCTTACAACCCCAGAAACAAAGGATGTTGCTGTACCTTAGATTTGAGAGAAGAGAGTTTGCCTCTGCCATCATAACTAAACAGATTTTTCCTTTAAAAGAAGTTGCGCATTACGATGTTATAATATTTATCATTCATTTATTTAACCACAATTGTGCAAATTACTTAACAACCCCAGCTCAACTTCAGAAAAAGAAGTAACCACCAAGGACTAGGTGACTTTTTAATGCTTAGAACTATATTTTAAACTAAATGTTTTTGCCTTCTCTTTCAAAAGTAATACTGTTGTGATAAATACCACTGAATCATTTAGTAGCATAATAACATGATCTCAAGGCTATTTTTTATTATGATAGTTCAGCCATTTTCAGCTCATTGATAACTGTGACTGAAGAAGCTTGTACACATGCTTTAGAAACATGACTGTTACCTAGAATTTAAAATTATGAAGAAGTACTTGTACAGCACTTAGATTCTGATTCATCCCCCTTGACTTTAGGTACTTAGGGTACCCACGTCACGATTGTAGTGACTTTAGGCTCTCTTAATCAATGGAAAAAAATAAGTAACCGAAGTTCATATGGACTTACCTTCTCTTTGGAGGTGGTGGCTACTTTTTTCCTACCTAATCAGGAATCACAAAATTACTACTCTTCTAACTTTGATATCTCAACTGCCTAGTGTTAGATGGGATGAGTCCAAACAATTTTTAAAGAATACATGTACATGCAGAAAAAAAACGGAACAAAAGATGACTCACGGCCTTTCTTTGCCTCCTGTAACGATCAAACCATCTCTTAACGTAGTATACATTGTGAAAACTGGTCCATTGTGAGCTTTGGCCACAATTCGTATCAATACATGATCTTTCCAAACACAAACATCTCCACTGATAGTACCTGTAAATGTCAAGTTATTCTGAAAAGGGGAAAAACATATTCATCATCTGATTCTGAGTAAGACAGGAAGAAAACCATTCAGATATAAAGATCATCACCATTTGCATTTAGGTTAGATTACTTTTATTTGCTGCTGTAGAGGAGCGAAGTGTAGAAGGGGTAATAACAACCTGTAGGGAAAAAACAACGAGCTACTATATTCTTTCTTGAAGTCCGAAACATGCTTTCCTGTAGTTAATAGGCTCTGCAATACAGGAAGAAAGGCAGCCACAGGGCTGTCTGTGTTTTCAGCCTACAAAGTGCACAAACTCTTGTGAAAAAGTACAAAAGCAAGAGCTTTGGCCCAGGTGAACAGAATGAGTGCTGCTCATACAGAGCACTTCCTGAAATGGCAAAGACATGGAATTTAGCAAAGAGGCCTGTATCTGTCAAAAAAAAACCAAAGCAAAACAAAACAAAACAAAATCCCACCGCGGTTATCTAACAGTCACAGACTTAACAAATGCCCCACGACAATGCTGTTCTTAGGTCACCCATGAGTAGTAAATGCATACAGATTATAATACAATCACACCCAGGCGGGCATAAAATTAGCCTCATTTCTACTCTTTGATTCCTGCAGTACAGCGTTGGCCTTGTTTTACCTGGGTTAAATACCAAGCAGTATATTATCTGTACAAAGCATGCACTTTTGTTTCTCTTGAAAAAAACACAAATCCACAGTCTTTTTCTTTTCTGCTCTAAAGAAAGCTGGTATTCATTCTAACTAGCAGGCAAGTATTAGAAACACTAAACTGAGTTTAATAAAACAAGCAACATATTCGTTGAAAAACCTCATTAAACTCATTGAATAAAAGCAGAAATGAAAAAAAAAAAAGAATAAAATATTATTTGCATGCATTCAAAAATCAGTTCTTAACATACATACCGCTCCAAAGGCCACAGAGAGCATCGTTTGCATTCGGGCATCTTCTATGGAGCTCAACAGCCCTTTTTTACTGAGAAGAGCTCGTCCAGCCAGTGTCCAGAACCTCACGTGTTTTACTCCCACAGAAACAAACTGGGTATCTGAATCTGGTCTGAATTCTGCTACAAATATACGCTGGTTGTGACCAGCTCGGCTGGCAATTTTGGCACCTGGCAGAAAGAAAATGGACATTCCGAATTCACTGATGAAAAATACACATTTATAGTTAAAAAATCCCTAGTTATGGGAAGAGTCACCCAAGACCATACAGGTCAGGAAGAAAAGCACAAACTGCTCCTAGTGAAAACTAAATCAAGATGCAGATAAAAAAACCAAACCAACAACCACCATATTAAATCAGTCCCTCTAGCAAGCATAGCACCTAATGAGTTAAGATCTCAGATCCAAGTTCCCATCTCCTCTTACACTCCTGTGACTCCTCTGAAAACCCCAAACTCTGGACAAATTATAGAGACTAATGAATTACTTCTCTTTAAATTTCGCCAAGGTTAGAAAACTTCCCACTTTCTGCAGGAAATTACTTGGTTACATATGGTCTTAGATTCAAAGCTAATGCTTTTCCAGTCTCTCCAAACACGTTAAAATCAGGCCTTTTGACCCATACGAAGATTCCTCAGTCTAATTCCTTAGCTGCCACATTGAATCTGTATAAACTCTTAAGGAGACTTCTGACTGACAGCAGTGAATTGCTGCATGACCTTTTACCACACATCCTCCATGCTACGTAAGATTGTATAATACACATTTGACATTGCATCCAGCTCAACAGGATCTAGCAGACAAGCTGTAAAGGATCACTTTTTCTTAACTTGGGAGCTGATCTTTAAACTTCTGAGAGATACTAGCTGATCAGTGGATATAGCCAAAGAGAGAGGAAATAAACCCCTAAGATTAGAAAATCAGTTTCATGGTCTGGGCACGGTTTTGCCAGACAGAAAGGAGATGAGGAAAGGAGCTGATCAAATTGCTTTAGCCTAAATCCTGAACTCCAATCAAAGCACATCTGAAAACATGCAGTGTTAAGACACCAACTATATAGCTGCATAAAGGAGCTATACGAGCATCACATTTCTGCAACTTGCAATTTTGCAGGGATAATTTTAGGAGCATAACAAACTAGTCAGCAACCAGACTTTAAAGAAGAAAAAGAATGGAGAAGAATTTCATAAGCAAAACAGATTTTATAAAGAGTTTTTACCAAGCAGCAAAGAAATGCCTGAAATTTAAAAAAAAAAAAAAAAAAAAAAAAGAAGAGTACAATTTTCTTTAATTATTCTACTAACTGGAAACCTTGGTCTTTACACAACAGTTCCAAAGGATATTTACTTAGCAGTTAGTAGAATGGGCAACTGCATTTATATTACCTCTCCTATATTTATGTTACAACTGCTCTTGTCTCAAGCTAACATTCCTCTAACAGTACAAACATATTCTACAGAAACAATTGCTTTCTTACCTTCCTGCCACTTCCAAATGGTAATGGTGTGTTCGGGATCCAGCCCTACTGAGAGCAGCAGTTTGCCAGTGGCACTGAAACTGACTGAGCACACGCCCTTTGAATGGTAGCACCGAAGCACGGACAGAGTCTGTTTGTTCATTGCATCCCACACATGAATAGAAGGAGCTGTAGCTACACAGATATAAAAACATGTAAGTGGCATGTGCTTTGAAAATGTCTAATAAAGTCTTACTGAAGAATTCTTATTGAAGCAGGTAACATTTTTTAATCAGACAAACAGAACTGTTCTGGGCAGAGAAAAAAAAAAGGAAACAAAAAAAAGGAGATTTTGGCCTTCCTTTGGCAATCAATTTAAGGCAAACAGGATCATTAAATAGGACTAAGAAGTTGGCTTTTGGCCTCCTTACACTACTGGAGATGAAAACTTTGCTTACCCTGTTACTGGACTTCTAGGCACAGCACACATAGAGGCTCTGAAAGCAAGCTGTCTTCTTGTTTTCTCCTAAGTAAAACTTAGTTCCACATGCTAACTCAAAAACCTTCATAACTATTGAACAGGTTATCAAGAATGTAACTTCTACATCAGGCTTTTGACAACTGGTAGCAACAGAGAAATTAGTTTACACTGCAAGGCCAGAATCTCCTTTTCTACAAAATGGCCATCTGTCTGAACTGCATGCTCTTAGAAGAGCGTCAGCTGAATAATCAGCTTGCTTACTGATGCAGAACTAGAGTATTTATTTTAGCTTGCGCTGTTTAGACTGCAAGCTCTTTGCAGTAAGAACCATTTTTCCATGCTATTAATATATGTGATTATATCTATTATGATGACAGCTAGGGTTTTTTTCCAAATGCAATTCCCTCTCCAACAGCCTTGCAATTCATGTATAGTTTGCAATCCCTAAATAGCATTTGGGGCATTTCCAGGACAGTACGATTCTCTCTCAAACTTCCTTACTTCTGATCTCTAATAAATGTGACTGCAGAGTCTGGACATCACTGATTATTGTTGTAGACCCAGATTCATTTAAACTAAATTCTATTTCAGCTCCATATTTTGTGTTTCTGATCAGCTAAACCTAGTCCCTCAAAGGCAGACATGTTATGGAAAACAGTAGGTGCTGGGGCCTACGTGAATTTTATCAGCATGAAGCTAAGCACAGTTCCACAGCTGTTCCAAAACAGTCTCTAGATAAATCTTCTCATTCCTATTGGAATTTCTTCTCATGATACCAACATACTGTTATTATCACCTTTCAAGAGGCACCATAGCACTGTACAGACATGCCATTAAAACAGAAAGGGCAGGGGTTGGGGATAACTGGCCTATGTCAAAATTGTTGTCTCCAAACTCCTTGCTGTCCTTATGGAAAGCTGAGGCAAGAAAGAGCTTTCTTACAGCTTTGAACTGTTTTTTCATCTTCAGCACTCCCCTGGGTAAAACTCTGCATTGCCCTTTACCTGTGCACCTCCCACATAACCTTGGTGAAAATTTATCTTTTGGGTGGCAAACAGAAATTTTCACATAGGTTTTATGAATAAGAACCAGCAAAATCTTTCAGAACAAGATTTGCAGGACAGCAAACATGGACTCTGTCCTGACACTGTGTCCTGCTTATGGAGTACTCCAGCTGCTCAACATCTGCTCTCACAAGAGAGATTTTCATCTCCTTCTGGATAAGTCAGCTACCACGGGCTGGCAGGACAAAAAAATACCTCCACTAAGATGAAGGAAATCTATACCAAGTCATTATGAAACTTAATTTGCCATTCCAGCCTATTGCAAGCATTACTGCTTCAAGAACCCCTGCATCACTGTAGGCAACATAAAATTGGAACAGGGAAAGTAAAAGCTGCTGGTGACCAAGGTGCCAAATAGCTATCAATAAATTTTAAGTGAAACTATGCAACTTTCTAATGAAGGCAGGCAGCAGCTTGGATTCCAGACTAGTGGTTCCATAAAGAATAAAGCAAGAGTGCCGGTTTTCAGGCAGTGACAAAAGAATTTAGTAACACATACAAGGTCAAACTAAACCTTCAGTAGGAAGAGGGCAGGCGAGAGAGGGAAAGTCTCTAGGCATTATATGCAGGACTAGAGATTTTCTTTCACATAAACAACCATATCACCACTTCTTCTTTTATACAGTTTAAAAGTGTGGGAAAAGGTACCTATATGCTTCCTACCATCCTTAAAGCAGGCACAATATGACATATTTAAAAGAAGTCAACACACATTAAAAATGCCATTGTACATTTGTTCTTCACAGAAAAAGCTTTAGATCCACATGAAGATTATTATACTTTCTAGGTATACATGAACACACATTTATGCATCTCTGGAAGATGTGTCACAAAACAATTATGGCTGTTTAACAATGAACTCACTCACACATGATGGTGATGAATTTTTTAAGATTGCAGTTCAGAAAACAGCATAGTAATAAAAAACGGCTCAGTCAAGACTGTCAAGCTGTCAAAGACCCAAAATGATAAAGAAAAAATTAAACTGACATCATAACCAGCATTTTGGATCAGTGGTAATAACTGCATGACAATCATACATAAATGTGAAAGGTGATTGTTTTTTTTTTCACTCAGTCACCTCGGCCTCCTCAATGGAATTTACTGTAGAAATGCATATTTAAAATTATACTCAATTGAGTGTCTTAAAAGAATGTTAGTTGTCAGCCCCAACATGTCTATAAAATCTGCAGGTGTATGTAGGAATGCTACAGCAGGAGTATATATTAGAACTCACTGATCACTGGGCAGCGAGAAGGGAATACGTTACAACAAAAGTAGTTTTTGAGTGTGTTCTAACATTTTAATTGGTTCTATACTTACAATCTGCTGAGCTGTTGTGGTTTATATTCAGTGCTGACAGTAATATGACTGATATAGGTTTTAATAAACCAAAAATGAACTCATGTCACTTATTGCTCTACAAAGCTGTTGATAGCTACTAGATAGGCTAACTATACCTGAAGATGTTAAAATTTTATTGCCCTTACCTGACATATCTGCTGAGTCTCCTGTAATGGAAAAGCAGCAGAAAAATAATTAGACCAGAAATAAGATTAGTTCTAAAGAAAATATATGGCACATTTAGTCTAATTTCTTAACACACACCTTGATGTCATCTCTTTGCATCACAGCAGCACCAGTACTGCTTTTAGTGTTGAAGATGAACAACTACTGATAAAAGGAGGTCACATCAGAAATAAAAATCCATAAAATATATTTTTATTTCCATTTTGACTTACAACATAAAAATCTAGTTTTGATGTATGTTAGGTGTCTTTCTGCCAAGCTAAATAAAAACATATTTAACATGTTACTGATATTTTAATAAATTAGGTGGAACACCCGCCCAGAAAACGCTGACAGCTACTTCTGCTAAGTATCACAGTATCACAGTATGCTAGAGATTGGAAGGGACCTCAGAAGATCATCTAGTCCAATCCCCCTGTCGGAGCAGGAACACCTAGATAATGTTACACAGGAATGTGTCCAGGCGGGTTTTGAATGTCCCCAGGGAAGGAGACTCCACAACCTCCCTGGGCAGCCTGTTCCAGTGTTCTGTCACCCTCACTGAGAAGAAGTTTCTTCTCAAGTTTAAGTGGAACCTCTTGTGTTCCAGTTTGTACCCATTACCCCTTGTCCTATCATTGTTTGCCACTGAGTAGAGCCTGGCTCCATACTCGTGACACTCCCCCTTTATATATTTATATACACTAATAAGGTCACCCCTCAGTCTCCTCTTCTCCAAACTATAGAGACCCAGCTCCCTCAGTCTTTCCTCATAAGGGAGATGCTCCACTCCCTTAATCATCTTGGTTGCCCTGCGCTGGACTCTCTCCAGCAGGTCCCTGTCCTTCTTGAACTGAGGGGCACAGAACTGGACACAATATTCCAGATGCGGTCTCACCAGGGCAGAGTAGAGGGGAAGGAGAACCTCTCTTGACCTACTAACCACCCCCCTTCTAATACACCCCAGGATGCCATTGGCCTTCTTGGCCACAAGGGCACAGTGTTGGCTCATGGTCATCCTGTCGTCCACTAGGACCCCCAGGTCCCTCTCCCCTACACTGCTCTCTAACAGGTCGTTCCCCAACCTATACTGGAACCTGGGGTTGTTCCTGCCCAGATGCAGGACTCTACACTTTCCCTTGTTATATTTCATCAAGTTATTCCCTGCCCAACTCTCCAGCCTGTCCAGGTCTCGCTGGATGGCAGCACAGCCTTCTGGCGTGTCAGCCACTCCTCCCAGCTTAGTGTCATCAGCAAACTTGCTGATAGTACACTCGATTCCCTCATCTAAATCATGGATGAATATATTAAATAATACCGGTCCCAGTACTGACCCTTGAGGCACTCCACTAGTTACAGGCCTCCAACTAGACTCCGCCCCATAGACTACAACTCTCTGGCTTCTCTCCTTCAGCCAGTTCACAGTCCACCTCACTACCTGATCATCCAGATCACACTTCCTCAATACTTCCTCAAAGTAGTAATGTCTAATCTTGTCAAGTGGCAAATACACCCAATGTTCTTCTGTAGGAGCATTAAGAAAGAAGGAATATAAAGGTTCAGGTACTGGGAAGTATTATCAAGACTCTGCATAGCAGCATTACAGTTTAAAAATGCTTGAAGTAATGTTTCTGTAAGTATTTTGAAGAGTCAAATCATGATGGTGAAGCTATGTTTGTGCCAGTCACATGAGTAGGAAAAGTAGCAGCAGTTAAGTATGTTCTTTATGGCATATTTACTCCTTAACATCTGTTCAGATTCTAAAAATAAGTGTTGTTTGAAGATATTTTGCTTCCAGCTCATTTTTCAGATTTAATTCTCTCCTTAAAAATGTTTTGCAGTCTACTTTTTACGTTTCATCTGCTCCTGATTTGTATGCCTTAATCCACATCACAAAGCAGTTAAAATTGTTCTAGTGCTATAGATGTAGAAATTATTATGAAATAAAAAAGCATTAAGGGTCCTGTGTTTCTTCTTGAGTAAGATGAACATAGAAGAAAATTCACAAAAACCCCACATTTTCACATTATGCCTACATTCTTCCCATATATTCTGTCATAGGAAAAGGCAAACAGGGCCAGATTAAGAAATAGGCTGAAAAAGCAAATTACTGAAGACAATAAAAGGTCTGTAATTCCTGCAAATGTTCTTTTCAACCAAAGCATAGGCAAAATCTGCTGATAGTTTTTTTCCATTTAAATAATTTCCATTAATGATTTATTTAAATTGATGTGAGGTAAGAAACTCACCAAGAAATGAAGCTATTTTAGCTAAGCAGTTACCACTATCAATGAGTTAATTTTAATGAGACATGCACCTAAAAATCCAAAACACAGAGGGAAGCAGGTAATAAACAAACTGACCATATTTAGATGAAACATCTAAAACAAACCTACAGGGAAAAAAACATATTCTGGCTAAAATGAACCAAGGGGTTTTGTATTCTATGCACTAAGGAAAACCATGTGGTTTTGAATCTGCTGAGAATCAAACAAAGATAAGAAAACTGCAGTTGAGTTGTAGGACTATAAAAACACACTGTTCTGCAAAATTTAGAATCAGCAGTATTAGTTCAGCTGTGGAGATGCACAGTGGGGATCTTTTTATCTTTTTTTCCTGGTTAGTCTGTAGATCAATTTTAATATTATTATGAAACATACATTTTTTTTGCCCCTAAAACTAAATTTTCTGTAGGGAAACAGCATTAGGGATTTAATTCAGGTTAGAATATTACAACTATGTATTATCAAAACACCAAGTGGGTATTATAAATCTGCCTGATGAGACAGAACCTACATAAAGTGGCATTTATTTTGGTCCATATAAAAATGAAGGATAGCTCAATTAAGCTTCAGCCTACTCAAGCTGATAGTTAAATAAAACCAAACTAATTTCATGGGGCTTAAGACTTGTATAAAAATATTTTTGATAACACTCCAAAGAAAAGATAAGCTTAATCTTCTTTCATGCCTTAATGTTTTTTGTTCAGCTTTATTAAATTACATTCAAATATATAAAGAGGACAGGTAACTGAGTAACACTCATACAAACGAGATAGCATAATCAAATATTTTTGTGATTTATCATGAACTCACACGGCCCTAATTGCATGCTCTTATGTTAATTTTTTTTTACAAATATTCAAACATACCTACTTGGCCAGTTGCCACTATGTTGGTAAACTTAGGGTGCTGATTTACAGTGAGGCACAAAATATCATCGTTGTGTTCCTGGTAAAAAGACTGAGAGCCTAAAAATAAAAAAAAAAGTCCAACCTTAGTTATAACACTTACATACACATAGACACGGTTAATGTTTGAAAAAGTTATCCAAGAGGAATTTTGGAAAGCTAACAACAAAATAATCAAATCTTTACTTCCCTCAAAATTCAGTCACTGGAAACATTTCAATATATTTAGTTTGCTTATGCAGCTATTACGAATCATCCCCACAGGATAAATTTTCAGCAACAAATACTAGTTTTCCCACATACTTTCATAAGACCTAAGGCATACCAGTTCTGTAATTCAAAGTGTATGAGGAAATACTTTTCCTCAAGTGCGTTTTCTCCTACCTGTTGCCACATTATACAAGATCCCAATGGACGCAGTATGGTATATTACATCAGCACCATCATTCAAGTAGTGCACATTGTTTCTGCAGTCCTTGCCTCGGTACCCAAATACCAGCTCCAAAATTAGGTCCTAAAAAAATATATTTACATCCATTAGACAGTCAAAACCTTAAAGCAATTATTAACTTTAATGTCTTTTCCAGGGTTTTATTTTCCAAATACATCTTTATGCAGTAAAAGAAAATATGTTTAATGATGTCTCAAACCAACAGAAACTGAGACTGTGCCTTCCCTATCAGCTTACATTGCTGCTTATTCTTATCAGACCCAGTCATGTCATCCTGTCATCTCTGTTTAGTGGATGCTGTAGAATACTTGTATACAAACATATATATACATACAGACAGATATTCAAAGACATGCATGTAAATAAATTACAGTGAGCAAAGAACACAGCTTTTTTGATGCAAAAGGTACCAAGAAACAAAGAATGATAAACACTGGTCCACAATTTAATTCCAGCTGGCCATTAAAAAAGCTCAATTGCAGCCTAAAACTTCTAGAACATTAATGATAAAAGGCCGTTTATTAACAAACAGCTACCATAGAACTATCATAGAAAATAAACATAATAACCATAGAGAATAAACATAATAAACAGCATTTTTCAAGGTTAGATGAAATTTCCACTTCAGATTAATCAAAACAAAGTATATTTATTTGAATAAGCCACATAATGAAAAAACACCAAATGCCCGAGCTAAGGACATCATTAATAGACTTTTAAAAAATATTTTATTTTTAAAGCTAGTAACAATGATAAACTTCAGATTAAGTTTTAAAGTCAATTTTTTAAAAACTGCTGTAAGAGATGCTTAGTTTATTAACGATAATACACCCATTAACAATTCAGTTATCTAACCAGCACATAATTGCTTTCTACACACTGTATTTAAAAGGTTTTATTGTTACTAAAAATTGAGTTGTGCTCCATTTCATTTGCAAGAAAAAGTAGTATCAGGCTTTTGAGATGAAAAAAAAAAAACAAAAACCCTCTGCCACTTTTTGGGCTATTTTCTCACTATTCAGTGTTTCCATCATTGATTACATGTAAAATGGATCAATCATTTAGTGTGCCCACAAGTGTGTCAATTTTTGGGGGGATAAGGGGAAGGGAAATAATAATCATAGAAGGAAAGGAAGAGGAGATCAATGTTTTTCTTACCTCTATAGGTCTCTTTTTTTTCCCAACATTATTTGTCTGAAGTTTCTCCGGCTGTGGCAATGCCCTACTAACTGGTGGTCTGAAATAAAGAACTGCGAATAAGAGAACGCTGTCCGTCACCCATTCCATACTAACACAGTACCTTCCAACGTGCTAATGCATATGGAAAACTTCTAGCCCTATCCTGCTTAACTGATATTTTCATTTATTTTTAAAAGAAACACCTCTGTCAAAGCAAAAAATAAAAATCAAAGAAAAAAAATCTTTGTTTAACATGCTAGGTTGTTTTTTTTTGTCAATTCTTCAACAACCCATGAGGTTAATACAAAAGCTTGTTTTACAATGAATGACCACTGATAAAATATTCTTCACTTATTCATGCTATGTTCTTCAGGTATTTCCATCTTTGTAGCAATTCTTATTGGATAAATTTTAAAGGCTTATCTGATTAATCTACATACTTGAGATAATCATTTTTGTTGCCACATGCCCTCAGAAGGCCCTAACTTTCCTATTTTTGTAATAGTTTGTAAAGGACTCAAGGGACACCTGCCCATTCACTTTTACATCAATAGAAACAAGTTACTGATCAACGCTTAGAAGTAAATTATTACCATGCAAATGCATGAATATCAGCCATAACTTCTGTTCCACTGTTCTGAATAACCCAGACTGAAGAAATATCAAAGAGATGTTTGATAAAGATCTGTAACATATCTTTCAGATTATGTTCAATGGGTCATATACAGAGAAATACACAAATAAGTTTTCTTTATCTAAGCCGGGCAATTATTTCAAGTGATTTGCAGAAGCATTAGTTATTGATTCTATAAATACAGCGTATGTGGCTATGAAAAGAAAACTCTAAGTTTGACCCATAAGAGAAAATTAATTTAAAAATAAATTCTATGTATATATTTAATGAAATACAGATGATTTAATCCAATAGGCAGCATGAGAAACTAGTATCACACTAGTGATACAGGTCAGCTCTCTTTCATATTCCCTTTTTAGTATGAAGTACTTTTAATTCTACCTCTGCTCTTGAACGATGGCTTTGACACAAAATAATCACCATGTCCTTTCTAAGAAGAAATAAGAATCATCCTATGATTCTAAGAATATACTGTGATTTGTTTGTACATTGTATATTTTGAATTACATCTGAAAAGTATGTAGCTCAAATACATACATATATTTGAATAATATTAAATTCTTCAAATAAAATACCATTTTCTGAGCTTTATTAATCCATTCTCCCTGACTAATTTTAGTACTATTTATAGATTTATGTCATATCCCCAATTAAAAGATTTGTACATATTATAACACAATTTTTTTCAGCAACTAACTATAGACTGTGTTCTGAGATACTTCAGTACTTCCTCTATGCTTAGATGCCTGTCAGGTACCTATGGACAAAAAAAATACAAAAAAATCCACACAGCTGAAAAATTTCTGTCTGGTAAAGCAGCCTGGCAGATGCCTGGATCATGCAAACATGATTAAGTTTATTAAAACTTAATATGGGCATTAAGCAAATTCTTATCAAAGCAAAGTATAAAATAATAATGTAAAGTTAAAAAGAAAACTAAAGGCATGAAGGACAATAATTAAGGGTCATATTTCATATTCATTCATAAATAAGTGCAAATTAAAACAGCGGACACTAACTGAAGTATGGAGAATGACTTTTATAACTTCACAAAGAATGGTAGTCTAACACTTGGTTTTTGCTACTCCAAAATTCTTACTCTTGGAAATAAGACTTCTAACAAACTGGCAGTAAAGGCAAAAATCTGGGGACACCAACCATATAGAGCAATGCAGGTGGGGATGTGCACTGAAGGTCTCCTTGCTCAGAAACAAATATTAAAAGATAGCAACTCTTAAATACACTGTCAGTCCTGCTTGAAATACGTCTGGTGGGAATGCAACCCCAGACTTCATTCTCAAAGGTCCTCAAGTTACAGATCTTTTTTTCCTCTATGAGGTCTCCAGTTACAAGGAATCCACACATCTCAAGACAGAAAAACAAGGCATTTGAATTTGTTTCTCAGTTATAACATGGACCAAGATCACAGTCATAGCATCCTGCCCCTTAGTTTGTGGAGATAAAAAAGTATTCTCCTAAATTTTGCAAAAAAAGGTGGAAAAGCACACCAAGCACGGTCTGGGCTGCCCTCCTCATTACCCATACAAGCATCTTGGCCAGTACAGGAATCAAGGAACACATCTGATTTCTGCCAGCAAACCTAACATCTGATTTTATGACCACTCTTTCAACCAGCTCTTTCCAGGTTTTATAGCTGATGGAAAAGTCCTCACCTCCCCAGCTATTTTTGAGGTCCTTTCTTCTCTTCAGTCTTATCAACTCCTAGCATCCTCTCATCTAGCCTGTCACATTACTAAAATAGTATCTCTAAGTATAATTAAAGATCTCACTTTTTCATTTTTAAAAATAAAGAAATCACAGTTTTACTCAGAAATTTCTAAATCATCAACAGAAAACACTCCTAACAGGTCACAATGTTTATCATATTAAATACATATGGAGAGAGGGTATCTAAAGTTTTGCAGAGGAAAAAGAAAATTACCATATTTGTTCCCCGCCTTCACAGTAGATGAGCAATTTCAGTTACAAATACGCTGATCAAGAGGTTAACAGGTATCTCCCAGTGCCACAGAAGCCTTCTTAACACTGTGTGCTACTCAAACTGAATCAACTCCAATCAAGTAAAACTACTGAAATTCATGAAAAAAACTGAAAGGTACAGATTCTCTATGGGGAATGGGCTATTTTAAGAAATAAAGCTTTGTTTGAGGTTTGGAGTGGTTTGTTTGGTTGTTGGGGTTTTTTGCATATGAATGTAAGTACTGCTTAAAACTGAACAAATTCTAGTGCTTATAGTGTCTGAAGTTAAATGGCAAAATAATAACCAGTTCCCTCCCTGCGCAATCAAAAGTCTTTGAAGAATAAATAGGGCTAACAAGTGAATTGAATATGCACGTACATACCCCATTATTTTATGGATAAGAATTATAGTTATTGAAATACATATAATAGCTGGTTTGTGTAATAGATTAATGATATTAAGAGTTACTAATGAATATTTTTCCTATTGACAGTTTATTGCTTTGAATTGTAATTAAAATTCTTTAATTCCTTTGATACGTCCATAAATAATTGCTACTCATTTATTAAATAACTAGGAGCACATTTACAAACAAAAGAAGTTCCTTAAAAAACACTTATTCTAAAGTGGTTCCTTAAAAAACCCTTACATAACACTGATTTTAAATCCTTTCTTAAACTAAGGAAACACAACGCGCACCTTTCTCTTTTTAAACATGGAAATCAGAAACAATGCTGATGTGCTGAAAATTGGAAGACTGTGTATCAGTGATTCTGTTAGCTTTCCTAATAATGGGGGGGGGAAGGGAAGGGAAGGGAAGGGAAGGGAAGGGAAGGGAAGGCAAGGGAAGGGAAGGGAAGGGAAGGGAAGGGAAGGGAAGGGAAGGGAAGGGAAGGGAAGGGAAGGGAAGGGAAGGGAAGGGAAGAAGGGAAGGGAAGGGAAGGGAAGGGAAGGGAAGGGAAGGGAAGGGAAGGGAAGGGAAGGGAAGGGAAGGGAAGGGAAGGGAAGGGAAGGGAAGGGAAGGGAAGGGAAGGGAAGGGAAGGGAAGGGAAGGGAAGGGAAGGGAAGGGAAGGGAAGGGAAGGGAGGAGGGAAGAGAAGGGAGGAGGGAAGAGAAATCTATAACTAGTTTTCCACTGTCATATTACTTCTTCCCTCATCTCATGCAGCAGCTATATTGCAGAAATGTGGGACTGGCATGCTGGTTATTGTGCATGCTGCTTCTACTGGCATGTTGTACAACTCTAAAAGAAATCCAGCTGTCAAAGATATGCTAAGGACTAAAAAGAAAATCAAAATGTGACTACTCAGCTGTGACGCCTCAACAGCCAAGATGCGATTGCCAGCCTACACAAAAAACAGCATAAAAATATCCAAATCTTCTTAAGGAAAGTAGAAAAAGACACACTCTTACAGTTCCAGAGAGCCTTCCTAGATAAGAGAGTAGCATAATTTCTAATGCTTTTCAGACAGCAAGGAAATCTTTCAATGTAACTTCCTCTAAATTGCAGTCAGCACATGGAACAAGAATGTCAATTTCTAGATTCAGTATTCATGCATAAATTTCTCTATCATTTTGAACAGCAGACTAAGAAGTGTATCAGTAACTAATGCTACTCAAAAAAACCCAAACAACTAGAACCAAAAAACACTGCAAAAAGTAGCTCAAGAGCAAATGAAGATTTCAGATCAAAGAGAGGAGACTACTACATTTCCATCAAGAAAATCCACCTGATTTGAAGCAAGCAGTAGAAACTGTAGGGAACTGAGTCCAGTTCTCTTGGGACAACTCCTAACAATCTATCCATAAAAATATTTTATGCCTATCTCAATTTAGAGATTCCAAGAAAAAGCAGGCATTCCCAAAAACATTACTGTTTAAGAGGAACAATGTGTGTTTAATTGGTTGTCAGAGGCTACTACTGTTTGACTACTGTTGCAAAGATACATAAAAATCAGAGACTGCATTGGTCAGGGGAGATTTAAGGAAATAAAAAGGATAAATCTAAACCAGCAGAGGAAATAAGTACCCCGAATAATTACACATTTGAGGTAAAGAAAATGAAAAGTAGATTCAACAACCTTTTCCCTAGGGAAAGAAAAGCAACCAACCATACAAATCCATACCACTAAAGCCAAGCTTAACAGAAGTAGGAAGTTCGATGACTATAGTTACTTAAACAGATCTACTGGCATAGAATTGAGAGACAATTCCAGTGGTGTAAAAGGGCTGTAGGCTCTATCACTGGAGATCAGTCCTGCTTCATGGATAGGCACAGGGAGAAGATTGAGCAAAACTGCACAATCCACCTTCTGATCACTCCAGAATGCTCCAAATATTTTATATTTTTAATTTCTAATTTGTCACAGTCAATCCTGGAAGTCTTATTACTGTTGTTCTAGAAATTGTTAAAACACAGCATAAAGAGCCCTTCTTCCACTTG